TTACAAGCCTACAGCCGCGCGCAGGAGCTGCGCCGAGGTTCCCCGACGGCCATTCGGTCCACTCGCTCTGAAGCGGCTTTGATACCACTCCCGTCCTTCTTGCCCGCCACATACCAGCTTGATGACCCCAAGTGAGCGTCGCGCCGTGATGGCCACCATCCTTTCGCATCAAACAACAGCACCTCAGCCGCGTGAATGCGCCCCCATGGGCAGAGAGCTTGCCGCTTTTAGAGATCATGCCGCACGAAAGCCGTCTGCTGTGTGGATTTGCAAGCCTACCGGTATGAATCAAGGCAAGGTCAGGTTCTTTTGCTCTTGACAAATGGTCCCACTTTCCAAGGGGCACTCACACATTCCCCTGCTTCATTACATTCGAAAAGTAGGGCATCACTTTGGTGCCCGATGCACAAAAATTTCTACTCGAAGAAGCAGCAGCTGCCTCAGAGCCCGCAGATCGTCGCTCTAGGTTAGCATGCATCGCCCCCGCGGCCTTTATTAGCTCGGCAGCACCATTGTCTGGGTCTTCTCATTTGCGCCATCATGGTGAATCACAGGCCCCCTATGCCCCGACTGATTCAAGAATACCTCCAAAAGCCCTTGCTTTTGGATGGTCGAAAGTTTGATATACGCTGCTATATGCTTATAGCGTACGTGCATGGCTTTCAAACGCCATGCGCCGACTTGCCCGCTTCAAATTCCGCCTCTGTCTTGTTGGTCTGCCCGCCCTCAATCTCTTCATCGATGCAATGTTCCCCCCAGATGCCCCAAACCAGCGCTTGTTTTTTATCATCAGGGCTACCTACGGCTTGCCGTGGGCACATACAACAAAGACGATTTCAACGACTCGTCCAGCCATCTCACAAATCAGTATCAACAAAAGCTGCGAGACGATTACAAGGCCAACAAAGACGACACAGTAGGGCCACCCCGCCGGATTGTTGTCGAGTCATCCCATGAGATGCATTGCATAGACACTCGCTTGAAGCCGCTCATGTGTTTGGGGCGGGCGGGGGTCGGGGGTAGGTGTGGACCATGGCACAGTTTTGTGCCTATCTCGAGGCTCATCATGGAGACGCATGCTCTCGTGTTTTGGAGGAGCAAGGCGTGCCATTGGTGGCTCACCTCGAAGCACAAATGTGTGCTATCATGAAGCAAACGTTTCAAGCAGCCAAGGCGCAATTGGCCACTGATTTTGGGTTGGTAGCACAAGCACCTCAGTCTGCACGTGCTTTGCAAGCTCATCAGTGGCCTTTTTCGTTTGGCCGCAGTCTTTTTGACTTGCTGGGATTTGATTTCATGATCGATTCCGACTTCAACCCATGGTTGATTGAGGTGAATGTCAACCCTGCCTTGCACATTTCCTGCACTGGCTGTCGGTGAGTAGCGTCCAGCACAGTGTCCGTCATTCCTGTGAATTGCCCCCTTCACGTCCTTGTGCCATCTGTGATCACATTCACTTGACCGGGCTCGTATCTGTTTGCAGTGAGGTGCTTCCAGGCATGGTGGCAGAAGCGCTGGCCATTGAGCTCGAACTCATGGACAATCGGCACGCAAAGAAGCCACTTTGGCCCCTGGATAGCCCGCGCGGCTTTCGACTGATTCACAAAGACCCCACGAGATGACACGGATTGTGCGAAAGCACTAGCTCAATTTTTTTTTTTTTTCAATCGACGCATAAACTTCCATAGTTGCGAAAGGAGGCATGGTTTCCTTGCTGAGACCACCCGAATGAAAAATTTAATGTTTTCAAGGCCAGCGAGATGGATGCGTGTTGCAGAACAACAAAGCGTTGTGCAATGCTTTGCTCATGCTGTAGACTCCTGGTAGTATGGCCCTCCCTTTGACTGGGAGTTGCCCAGCGAAGGATAATACGGCTCACTATTAATGTCAGCCTGCAAGCCACCCAGAGCAGTGTGAAGGCTGGAGAACAAACAGCGCCGGGCTTCTTTGTTGGGACAGGCACGCTACCTGATCGCCCGCAAGACTATTTTCGTCCACAGTAGAGAATTGCTCCTGCTTGCTGGCTGCGGCCTCGGTATTTTGCTCTACATCCTGCACCTCATGTTCTTGTGCCTGCCGCACAAAAAACATTGAGTGCGCCAAGCAAATGAAGAGGAGACAACTCTGAAACAGCAAAAGCAAAGAATACTCAATGTCAGTGTGCTTGGCGGGCGTCAATACCTTGGTGTAGTGGTCTGGTTCGAGGCCTTCCATGATGGCACGGGCCAAAAAGGCTTCACGCTTCTTTGCAATTCGGACCCCTATCAGCACACAGACCAGCAGCATGGCTCAGAAAAAAGAAAAGAAAAGAAAAAAAAAAAAAAAAAAAAAAAAAAAAAAAAAAAAAAAAAGAACAAGAAAAAAAAAAAAAAAAAGCATGCGACAGGTTACACCAGCCTTGCCAAACGGCAAGGCAGAGCGTATAAGTGGTCACGTGTAGACGAGCACGGCACTCACAGCGGGGAACTTTGTGGTATGCGGCTTGCACAATGTACTTGACCAAAAAGACCGAGTGCTCAAAGATGATGAAGAAGGCCGCCTTGGCAAACCAGATCTCCCAATACAAAGTGTTGCGCTCACCATTTTCATCGTACACGCCGGCATAGTAGCAATCCTCCTAATCAAAGGAGAACAGATCAACGGACGAACAAGTCAGCTCGGGTTGAGAACGAGCCAAGAGTCCGCAGAGTCACGGCTGGTCAAATGGCATCTGGGTGAATTTACCAGGTTGGGCGAGTCGGAGTTCTCGAGCGGGGAGGGCGAATAGATGGAAAGGATGTAGCCATTCATAGAGCCGCCGTTGCGACTAGCATACACACGGCGGTCGACGAAGTCTGATGTCAAGGTAATGACAAGACCTATTTCATGCACCCAGATACACACGGCAAGGTTCGTTGTTGAGTGCGTTAAAGCCGTTGAAGGATGGCCAAGCCGGGCAATGGCGAGGGCAGGTACACGGTACCGTTGGTGATGACAGAGAGTGTGGCAATGAAGCCAATGACGTTGTTCCAAATGCCAATCGTGTTGGCACGCTCCGCCGGTGCGCGCAAGAACAGCGTCAACTGGCAGGCCATAATAAGCACGAGGCGTGAGTGGCGTTTGCCTTTTGACAGCAGAAGCAAAGGAGTCTTCAAGTCACGCACCATCTTCTTGCCATCAACTCGGATCTCCAAAATGTTGTTGATGAGAGCGAGCAAGGGTGCGAGGCTGAAGGAGCTCACGACTAAAGCAGTGCACATGAGCGCGACGTGGGGCAAATGGAAATTGGCGGGTGTAAGGTGCATGCTCGAGGTACG